AAACAAGTTGGATGCTTTTTGTTTCCAAATAGACCTGCATGTTCTCAGCCTATGACCATGCATGTCTCTGAGCACAGTATTCACCTTCACCACACACGAGAAAACAGTTGGTCAGCCAACACTGGGATCTGTCATTCTGGGTGGCCATTGAGGTCTCTGGATACTGATTACTGTTATGATATTAGTAGAATCATGCAATTAGCCTTGCTGAGCTTCTAAGTACACGGCAACCTGAATAGGCCTAAAAATGCAGATCTCACTGCACAAAAGTGCACAATATATATGCACAATTATATAGAGTAATCAAAGTCCGTTTGATATCTGAATATTTAAAACAGTCTTGGTTGCAGCCATTGACCATATATTGTAACCTAAACACAAGCAGGGTAGGTAAAATGTACAATTTCTAATGGGACAATCCAATCCACCTCCAGAGAAACCACTTGCGATCACCATACAAAAAGCTGTAGCAACCTAGAAAATCAGATGCTGATTGATTTACAAATTTACATTGTTGATTCCCTCACCTATTAAGCATGCTTATCTGTTGCTGCATAGGAACCAACATTTCAAAGCTGTAACACAATTACTGTTAATTTCATTATGCTAATAATGCAAATTAGCCATCTCCCCTTACAAAGAAACTGATTGAGTTCGATCTGTTTGCAATGGGTCCTACACCTATACTAATTTTAATTAAAATTGCAAAATGACCTGAAAACACAGCAGTTCATTATACATATCACTTCAATGTGTCTTTTTCTTTTTATATTGGCTGCGATATACCTCCACTGTAAAATATCAGCATATTACAAGGTCACAGTGAAGTTCCATGAACATATTAAAGCATATGCTTGTAGGCTGGCTTGTGGGCAGGGGCGGACTGGGCCGGGGGGCAGGGTGGCAATTGCCCCCCGGGCCTCTCTGCTGCCTTCAAAAACGGCCGCTGCCCGCGGCCGTCAAGGGGCCCGCCACTGGCCCCCGCTAAAAGAATCTTCCGGCCGCCGGTGCAGCGGCTCCCTCCGCCGCCACGTACAGAGTGCAGAGCCGCTAGGTCACATAATGCAAAGGTGTCCATTAAAGTACTAATTGTTTTACAATAGAAGTTTATATTATTCCTTATATTACACATGATTCACTTAGAATAAAATGCAGAGCCCTTACACATCTCTCTGGCCAGCTCTTGGCAACCTGGGACTCTCTGGTCAGCGTCCTGCCCAAATTCTGGCAACCAGAGCGTGCCGGGGAGATGCAGAGCCCTTACACATTTCTCTGCCCAGCTCTTGGCAACCTGGGAAACTCTGGTCAGCATCCTGCCTAGCTTCTGGCAACCAGTGATGTCACTGGTTGCCAGGAGCTTGGCAAGATGCTGACCAGAGCGTCCCAGGTTGCTAAGAGCTGGCCGAGGAGATGCAGAGCCCTTACACATCTCTAGCTGGCTCTTATGGCTCTTAATGGCATCAGTCTCCACCAGCATCCTCCCCCCACACACACACTGATTGTGCACCATACCCCCCCGACAAAAGGGCAATCATCTATCCTGGTCTAATACTGTATATTTCTATACTGTATGAATGAATTAGTGTTATTCATAAGATCAATAATCTTTTTACATCATTAGTGAATAATAATGAGTCATTTTCTCATATTAGTGGAAATAAATGTACACGTGTTTTCCAGCTATATTGATCTAAGCAGAATGGTCCATGCATTAAAGTGTAACTAGAAGCATCGCTTGTGTATGTGATCAGATAGCATTCGTGTATCGTTAATTAAGCCACACTGAACAGTAAAATCATTATGTTACATAGCAACTTTGTCTCCTACACAGTACGGTACCAGGCACAGAGGGGAAAGCTGTCCTTAAACAGCCCATTGTTACAAGTGATTTGCATATTCAGGACCCTCAGGCATCTGAGCGAACATGAAGAAAATCCGGCTGCTCCTGCACTGCAAATAGGGCCTCTCCGGGGCCTTCAAAGACCTATGCAAATAGGCTTCATTTGTATAACTACTGCATTATCTATAGGAAAATGATGTGAACATTTGAATCTGAAAAACCCTAGATCATGTATATCCCCAGAGGACCTATACAAAATGGAAAACAGTGTTGCCAGTTTTTTTTGACCTGCTGTGGAATTTATTCATTTATTATAGGCATTTATATAGCGCCAACAATTTATGCAGCACTTTTCATACTGTACCTCCACATCAGTTCCTGCCCCCAAGAAGCTTACAATCTAAGGTTCCTATCCTAAGGTGCCCAACACCTTTCAACCATCGCACGACTTTCGCTGTGCGATGGTTGTAAGGTAATTAAAATCTTGTACGATCTGCCCATCTTGGACAGGCACATTGTACTTGCGATCATCGCAAGCCCTCCCCGCCGAGGCGAGGGCTTCCGATGATTCCAATGCTGAGCGGGCAGTGTGCACTTGTGCACACCGGCCTGTTCGGCATTTGTCTTCCGAGCACACCACTAACCCGCCGAAAATAGTAAGATTCTCGGTGGGTTTTCGAGCGTGCTCGGAAGACAACAGACTTGCGACCGTACAGTAGAAACAGTTGCACGCTTTCATACCTCTGCCGATTATCATACGATCGCGGTATCACCCGGTGTATGGGCAACTTTACATGAATACTAGATCAATTTAGCCTACATATCACCAGAGAGTAATAATCAATTAATTATTTGATGTATTGTCTTTTTGGACTTATATCAGAAGAAAAAATAGCTATAAGTTGATAGACAGGTTTAATAAATAAATGAGTTCACCCTCCCTAGCCCCTCAGCCCCTCTAACCTAAAGAAACCCACCCCCATGGCAATAGATTACCGTGTGTTGTGGTGCAATGCAATGCACATGCAATGGCAAAGTGAGTTGGGGTGCCATTGAGGAAAGATGGCACAGCAGTGCACCAAACAGTGCAACATGCAATCTCATGCGAGTTCCTGTATACTTGAATGGTGCCACATTCTGTGACTGCAGAATGGAGGAGCATAGTTCCTAAGTCTTTGGGCACTCACGGGCAGATGGGCTCTGCACTGTAAAAAAAATTCAGCCTAGAGGATGCAGCAGCTGTCACTATCAAGTAAAGGTCAGGTAAGGTAAGGGTAAGTAAGGCACCAGCCGGAAGTCTACACAACAGGCAATCATCTGATGTTGTATTGGGCAAAGAATCATCCAATGTGTGGCCAGCATTAGCACTAGAAAGGTCTAGTGTGCACATTTTATAATGCATTTGCTTATACTGTCTTTTTATATTTGTGAGCTTGCTCTTATACAATAGCTACTGTTCTAAAAAAAAATTAAAAAAAACTTTTTCTTGGACTGTTGAAAGAGTATTATATGTGTACTTGGATTGAGAATTTTCCCTAAAACACAGTGTGCTTCTTAACCAGTGAACAGTACGGCACTGATTTACTACTTAGAATACAGCTTCTTCTCACTCATGTAGCAGAACAATCTGACCTTTCTTCTGGAACTTGTGTACACAAACTCGACACATCACTAGTCACAATATTCTTTCAGTTCCAGTGCCTAAGATTGTTCCAAGACGTACACTCTCCAGCTTTCGGGTTACTGTGCAGTCGTCACAACATTCTCTCTAGTTTTGGCAGTTAAACTGGAGTTTTCTGTTCTTTTGCAGGCACACAATGCTTGCACAGGGCTCAAAAGGTGCAAAGCACAGGTTCCTGGAAACTTGAGGACAAGACCAATTACCTGGCACCTTACAGGCTACTTATTAAGTAGCCTGTTGATATGCTGTAGAGATCTTGCTGACCTTTTATGTTATTTGGAGTGCATTGTGTTTAGTATAATAACCATTTTCTTGTCATAGGCAAAGCAGACATGCATATTTGCATACAGTGCTTGCAACGGTTATAAAAATTAAGTAGGTTGACATGAACTGAAACCCATGGCAATTTGCTTGCACAGGGCCCAAAAGGTGCAAAGCACAGGTTCCTGGAAACTCGCAGACAAGACCAATTACCTGGCACCTTACAGGCTACTGATTAAGTAGCCTGTTGATATGCTGTAGAGATCTTGCTGACCTTTTATGTTATTTGGAGTGCATTGTGTGTAGTATAATAACCATTTTCTTGTCATAGGCAAAGCAGACATGCATATTTGCATACAGTGCTTGCAACAGTTATAAAAATGAAGTAGGTTAACATGAACTGAAACCCATGGCAATTTGCCAACTTGATTCTAGAGCTTGGATAAAAACCAAATTGTATAACCATATTCATTTTTTTGTTTTGTTTTGCATTACTATAGGAGGGGGTGGGGGACTTTTATTTCACAGTAGAAAGCCTGTGGTTGCAGGGAAACCCGTAACAGAGGCACATGGCCAGCTGCACTTTTTAAAGCAAAACAAAAACTTGTCTCTCTAAAGACCTCCTACCAGAATAATTCACTAATTTGAAATGCAGGATCTCCCGTCTTGCAAGCTGTTGCGATAAGCAGCTGTTGCAGGAGGGTTAGAGGTCACATTATCCGATTGAATAGTAAGCATTAGCTGCTTCAGCCAAGGCTTATCTTGAGGAGCAAGCACCTTCTGTGCTAAGAAAAAAGGAACAATACAGTCTGCTCACAAAGGGCTGGCACAACTTTTGAATAAAAAAAAAAAAGCATGCAAAGTTTAATTTAGGTTGACCGTTATAGTGTGTGTTTTTTGTGCAGTCACATTTCCCAACTGTAAGTAAAATATTGCAAACTGACAACCAAAGTAATCTTCAATTTGTTTATTAAAGATAAAGAAATATCATAATGAACAGTGATGTCATAGATGGAATAAGAGAAAGCACTGCATGATAGTTCTATATACAGATATGACAAAAGTCTGTAAGATATAAAGTTCAAAGTTCTTTGGTATTTCGGGTCTCTGCCTGACAGGCAGAAGCATCTTAATAGAAAATGCAGTTGATTAGCTTGGTATAAATTGATGTTGATTAGCTTTATAAGTCCAAAGTTCTTTTTTTTTTTTTTTACATATAGTTTCCAGTCCAAACATTTCCAAAAATCCACACGATGCCATCATGCTTAGGTGTTTCCCATCTGCCATGGCCCTTCTTGCACCATCTTAGCCACAGATACAATTCCACTTTGCAAAAGTCCTTCCAGGTTTGCAAAAACATGCAATATACTCCAACTCCACGGTATGATTGCCCCTTCAGTGCTACTAATGTAGGAGGCTTTGCACTGGTCTGAACCTTCCCTTCTGCAGATCAGTCCATGTCAAGTTTCCTCCTTACTCTTTTGCTCCACAAGAGCCAACATCTTGCCGGTCTCAGCCGCAGTTTCCGACCTCAACCGGCGTAATCCACAGACTCGGGGGAATGCAGCCGGTCCATCCAGGCGTACAACACCGTGATAAGAATGCAAAACGATTTTCACAATCTAGTGCAACGGTCAGTTCACTCGGGCAGGGTAATAGTGGGAACCCAGTCATTAACATTGCGGCTTTCTTCACAAAATAGACCGAGTTTTTCCAGAGCAGGGTCTTTCCATGCATCCTCGCTAGGGTTCTGAGAAAAGAAAAGGAACAGAACATGAGTAAACTGCTTACGAGCAGAAAGTTGAGACGCAGCCAAAAGGCACAGTGCCAAGTCAGGAGAGATAAGCTGAAGCACAACACTTACCGTAATAAGGATGCAATGAAGATCTTTTGGTTCTCCAGACTCATCGTTGCTGCCCAAGATTTCAGCCAGCTTTTCTGTGTCGTTCAGACGTACAATGTTGATGTCATTTTCGCAGCAGAAAGCTTGGATGAGGGTGAAGTGGATCTGCAGGGCAATGTCGCCCTCATCAATCTCATCGGCAGCCAGAATGCAGAAGGTGACATTGTCTGGATCTCTGTAGAGGAGGAAGAAGGAACATGTACGTTAGTTCTGCAGTGGGCCGGTGTGTGGGCAATGTGTTACGTGTGTGCATGAGTAATAGATGTGCGTGGGATCTATGCAAGAGAGTAGGATACTTACACATTCATTACTTTGGCAGACTCGTAGACTCCAACGGTCAGACACTCCTGTCTCTGAGCGGAGATCAGCAGCTCGTGAAGGGCTTTGCCAGCGCTGTGCATTCTAAACAAGACAAAAATAAATGCACTTAATACCGGAGTCCAAGCATCATCAGAAGCCAACACAATGCACAATGTACTGAAAGCTAACTGCAAACTATACTGAGAGCTCCTTATAAGGCTCTAGCTATGAACACAGGCAGCTGTCACTTCATTTGGTCTACACAGCATCTGATCACTAGCACGTTTCTATATAAAATCTACATTAAATGGATCACAAGCCACCCTCATAGCCAATACATCTCTATCAAAGTGCAATAAACCCAATACTACTAGAACATCCCCCTATACAGCTCCCCAATAGACTACTAGCACTCAGTAACCAGACTAGAAACATGAACAATATTCATGATAATTACCTTTCAGTGTTTTCCACAACGGTTTCCTGTCCGTGAACCTCTTCCAGAGTCATGATGTTTAAATGCTTGACAAAGGAGTAGCTAAGAGCCAGAATAAAATCCACAAAGGTTTGCTGAGAGCGAGTGTTATATCCAAAGAGGGGTTGTAATGGCAGAGAATCCCAAGTAGTGTGAGGAACACAGGCAGCAGCTCGCGCTTATATACAGTGCGAGGCGTGGGCGTAGTTTGCAGCACTCCTTCTCTCTCATTGGCCGGCCGGGGGAGACATTGTAATGCAAATCCTGGTCAGAACTCTGGCTCGTGCCAGAAGGCCACGTGGGGGAAGGGGGCTGTGGAGCAGAGTGTGTCTGTGGTGGGCGCAGGGGGGGGGGATTTTTCTTTACAATGACTCAAAGTCTAATGTCTTTTGTGATGCTGTTACCGGGCAGACTGGAGCCTGCGGATTTTAGCATTTACAAGAACACAGAGGGGACCTCAAAGAAACCCAGGACTTTCTATCTGTGCCCACTGTGGCTGTTAAGAACTTTCTGTGCAGGATGCTGGCCGCTGTGAGGTGTGATGGGACCAGTCAACTCACAACATATGCTGCTTACAGTAATATGCATCAATAAAAGTGAATAGAATGGCATTTCATTTTATTTTTGGATGTCAATAGCCCCCCTATTTATACTGGTGACCAAAAAGTGAGGGGCACCTCAAAAAGAAGAAGAGGTGAGGGACAGTCCTCTAAAGGGGACAAATGTTCCTATGGAATCTCTGTAAGGGCCACCATGCACATTACAATCTGAGTGTGCAATTAACTCACAGGCTCGTGCACACGCTAGTAAGCGTCGTATAATACGTGACAGGTGCAGCATACAGCCTGTGCACGGCGGCTGCACGCAAATCTACAAGCATACAGGGCTGTATGCACCTCCCCAAACGCAAAGAGCCTGCAGGACGCATACGGCTCTGTACACATGCAGCCGCTCAGATTTGCGTTCTATGCGTGCAGCCACTACCTGCCATTGATTTGAATAGGCTTTCTGCTGCACCTGTCACTCCCAGCAGAGAAGATCCATGTACCGCCATTTACTGAGCCCTTAGATGGATCAAAACTCTGCAATATAAGGACCTACCTAATCTGTCCAATCAGGCGGACAACTGCACGACATAATGCTGGCAGATCTAAAGGAGATTGTACAATCAGATTGTAAGCTGTGCGGTGAGTTTAGGATGACAATTCCATTCACTTGAAATGATTTCTTTGCATGGAAAGGGGACAGAGACAGTACAAAAAAATAGGGGTTTTAACCCTTTCCTACTCTATCCCAAACAGAAGTTTGGGCTTTCTATAAGAAAGCGGTGGCTGGACTGATGCATCAGGGAATAATATGTTCCATATCAATGATTACGGTATTCAGAGATCTGGCAGAGATGGGGGGTTTCTTTTTTTTTTTTGCACAGATAATAGGGTCAGTGTGCAGCAGATTGTGAATGGCACACGCTGCTACTTTGCATTTGTATAGGAGCCTCACAATGGGGGAGAGGTCTGGCGTGTGGCAGTTTGGAGATTAGACAATTGGCCCCTTTTTTCTCTTTCTAGGGATACTGTCCACCTGCCACTGTGGTGGGGGAAGCTGAGCACACATGGATCAATGTCCTCCAGATCTCCCATCCATCACACTGGGGTGGAGGGGGGGATCTCTGCTCTGCAGCTTGGACCAGGCACATGGGTGAGGAGCTCTCCAGCACCAGTGACGGGACCCGGCTCTGTCGGTGACACATACCGTGGCCCAGTTAGTCATCAGCCATCTCCGATCGGTGATCTGGAGACTGGAGAGTACATTGCAACATTGTGATTGTAAACTGCCAGACACATGGAACCAGACTAGACGAGGCGAGACACACAGGAATGTAAACTGTAAGCTTGCAAGACCTAGACAGAGCTAATCAGGGCAAAGCACTTTAGCAGATACATGTTACAGACGCTAGCTCGTTCATGTGTTTTGTAATATATCATCTCGATGTTGTTTGCAAATATTACATCTGATTATCAATAGGCATCCTTATTAACCACTTCGCTCCCTAAGGGGTGTGCAGCATGGTGAATTAGTGTGATGCTTGCACACTTTGATTTCAGTGTGATTGCACTGTGCTTGTTTATTCTTGAGGGAATACGTAGGTGATGAGTGCTGCCAAAGCTTCAGCGTGCGTTCCTATGACAGTGTCCTTTATGGATCTTTCCTGTAAGAGTTTCTTCACCCCGCACACAGCCTGTGCTGGGAATGGTGCGCTTCAATACAATGTCTGCGGCGCCCCCTGCTGGACTTTGTGTTGTATGACCACAGCTAACCTCGTATAACTTGTACTGGATGCCTGGCCAGCAGCCTGAAATAACCTGTAAACGCCGCATCTGGCCTGCTCAGCATACACTAGGTCAAGCATCAGCTTTTGCAATAGGCTTGCTGCACTGAGTGAAAAGCAACTCTGTTTGGAAAGAAACAATTCTACAGAAAAATTGCTTGCAAAAAAAATAGGTGATACTTTAAAGCCTAAATCTAAGAATAAAAAAACTATTGTTGCAGTGGGGCTACCTCTGCACTGCAAGGGTTAATTGCTCAATTTTTTTTGTCTAGGGTAGTCCTGTAAAGGACATTTACTTACCTGATCCCCACTCCCGCATGCCCGGTGCCCACAGCCTCTCACCCCTACACTCCGGTGGTAGGGCTGGATTTATCATTAGGCAGAGTAGGCACGTGCCTACAGGTGCCCTCCGTGCAGGTACCTACTCTGCCTAATTCCCGGTGCTGTGTCAAGATACAACACCGGCAATAGCAAGGAGGGTGCATTCTGTACAAAATGCACCCTCCTGCTCTAAGACCAGCGGCACTTGAAGGAACCGTAGGGCGATCCAGACCCCAGAGTTGCGTTTTAATTATTATTATAATACAGGATTTATATAGCACCAACAGTTTGCACAGCTCTTTACAATAACAGTAACACAATACAGTTACAATAGGTTACTGTTACAGGATAAGATGGTAAGGAGGACCCTGCCCATAAGAGCTTACAATGTAATGCTCTGGCAGACGCGAAGTCCTCACTTGGCTGTGTTTAAGAGCTATGGCCTCTGGCATAATCTTCACATCAGACACACTTCTGTGTGTGTTGGATGCCTGGTCCCCCATTGTGTGCTGTGATTCCTTCTGCCAGCCCCTATGTACTGCTGTGTACTCTAGTGATGCAGAAGGCAGCAGATGGAACAGTTTGCGAGGGGGAGGGGTGGAGGGGGGATGCAGTACACCTGGAAATGTCAGATGCTGAAGATTCTGCAGCAAGCCAGACAGGTGAGAATACCAAAAAAAGTATGCATCTTTATTTCTAAGCACCAGAGTCAATTGAAAGGACTATGATCTTGTTAGTCTACACTGTAAAAAGCAGAAACACTTCCAAGAATATTCACTAATCCTTCTGGCAAATGGCAACTTTCCCACTTGGCATCTCTGCTGCTGCTAATGGGAAGCCCCGCTTACAACCAGATAATATATTTCCTTTACAAACACAGGAAACGATTAGACTTATAAAACTGAAAGTTCCTCTAACAAGGCGGAATATCTCTTCTCTGCATCAGTGGGGATGACTGCAGATCATCAGTATTCATTTCCCGCATTGGTATACACCAGCTTATTACAGAGCTCCTTACGGAGTACATAGAACCATCAGTTACAGTCCCCAAAGGAGCTCATAATGTAATAAACCTATCACGATTATATACACTAGAGGCAAGTTGGGTTGGGAAGATGCCAGTTATGTTAACTACATGATTTTGAACTGTGGGAGGAAATCAGAGCGCCTAAAAGCTACCTACACAAACACTGGGGGAACATACAAACTCTAAGCAGATAGTGTCCCACCATGTGAGATAAGAACCAAGAGTTAGCATACTAAGCATTTAGCTGCTATGATGCCTCCAGTCAAGCCATGCCAACCCCTACAGGATTCATTCCTTCTCTGGGTTTCACATTCCAGTTGTCATCAGGAACTGTGTCCATCTGGCTACTTGGATTATGCTATGTAGTTCATGCACATAATATGGTGATTTGCATTTCAAAGTAAAACAAATGATGATAGGTATCACCTACACTGTGCACTAAGCAATGGCTAACACAGTACAACACACTACTACTGCTAGTCCTTGGGTTATAATTTATGGAAAAAAATGGCCTTGGATAGCTTTAAAAATGAGCAACCAGCAGCCATGACCCTAGTTGCCAGTTCAGACTTAGTGATTCATTCTAGAGAAGGACTTTTGCACAAGTCATTAACGTTCACATTCTTGGAAATTCTCCTGCCATTTGTTCAAATTTCCCTCAAAGTTCAGAAGTGCACAAGTCCAGCTGCTGTTTTCTCTGCTGCACCTAATACCGAGCTGTAAAAACAGAACTGGAACAGACGTGACACCTAGTGGACACTGGTAAGCTTTAGGAAACCTTGAGCAGAGTTTGCGAATCGAATTGTATGAATGCATTGTTGTGTATTAGATGTGTAAGTACACTTGTCATGAGAAAAAAAACAGGGATGCCATTTCTGAGTCTTCTTCTAAAAATGCTAGTTGCCTGCTTGCCTGGCTCTCTGACTTCTAGACTTCTCTGTCACTCACTGGGAACAAACCATTGAAAGTTGGAGAGATGCTTTCTTTATCTCTGCACTTGTTACAGAAGCACTTTGTACTGATACCAAACCATTAGCATGACAGCCAGGAAATTAGCATCATTAGAAGTAGGGATCTCCAGTGGCAGCCTCTATATTTCCCACATGATAAGTTTCTAATAATGCTGCATTAAGTCTTTGTTTACCTGCATTCCACACCTTACCTCATAAGTGATATTTGACATCTGTGGGTTCATATAGGATTGTTTATTCGCACGCTAAGGTAATAAGCTATAAACATTCAGCCGAGAGCATAGCAGGGCGAATGCCGTTCACGTGAATAGCATTCGCCCAGCTATAAACTGGGCAGAACGTTTATACATCAGCCCCTTAGAGTCACCATACATGTCACAATCTGACTGATCAATATCTGTACAAGGTATTTTACATTTACCAAAACTATGTAATACGAGGACCTTCCTAAACTACCCAGTCAATTTGTATCCAATCAGACTACATACGGTAGTTTTTTGG